TAAAAAGAACATAACTACATGAGGCAATGCCTGCATCACAGCTATAATGCCCAGTTCTGTTACACTGAGAGCTTCATACAACACTTGTAACATTTACAAAGGTTAGCTTTTCTCAGAATGAGTGCTATACAGCTGACAATTATGGGAAAACACAGAGAAAGGACACATCTTAAAGGAGGTTCTGGTCTGGCTAGGTCAGATAGTCCCTAGTGCCTGGACTCTTAGAAGGTGCCCTAAGTGTCTCAAGGGCTGAAATAGCTTCTGTATCCTTGGGAGAGAATAAGGGCAGAATCCTATTTTACTTTACATGTCCACATGGCAGTTTTCCAGCTTTGTGACTGCCATTTTTGCACTTACGCAGAATCTGAGATCCACATGCAGTGTGGGTGTGTAAGCACCCAGATAGCTAATAAGCACATGCACTTTGGCCAGGTATGGAGTTCTGTACGTGCATACCTGAATGTAAGTCCTGAAATTCTGGCCTGGTGAAGAGGCATGGGCTTGCACGGGCATACAAAGTCCAGTCCACAGGCCGGGTCCAGCTGGCAGTGGACTCCATTTCCCAGCAGACCCTGCCCACATGGCTGGGGCTGGTTTCCATGGAGACCCCAGCAGCAGCCACCCTGCTGTAGTGTGGGGCCAGGGTTTCTGTGGAGAGTGGCCCAAGCTTTGCTGGCAGAGCAGGGAGCTCCTGTGGGCCAGGCTGGGATCTTGCAGTGGTGACAGCATGGTCGCGAGCCAGGGCACAGCTGCAATCTGCAGCCTGCATGCTCCAGGCATGGGCATGCAGGCAGCTGGTCATGACTCTGTGCCAGCTCCTGGCAGCGGTGACAGCATTGTCTGGAGCTGGGGCAGAGCCACAATCCACTGCCTGCATGCCACTGCCCAGAGCATTCAGGCTGCAGCTCGTGGATCTGCCCTGGCTCTGGATCATGCTGTCACTGCTTCAAGATCCCAGCCCAGCCCCAGAGCAGCTCCCCGTCCAGCCAGTGCTGCTGGGCAAGTCTCCATGGAAACCCAGGCCCCCTTTATCACAGCACAGCTGCTGGTGGGGTCTCCATGGAAACTGGCCCCAGCCATGTGGGCAGGGGCTGCTGGGAAATGGCATCCAGCCGCTGACCAGATCTGCCATTTTGCACATCCCTGGGTTAGGGCATTCATGGAAGCAGGAGGTGCTGGTTCTAATTCCCACTCACCCAGAGTGGTTTGAACTTGTATTCCTCCAATTTTCTGACACAGTGCTCTAACCAGTACAGGTTGTGCATTATCCAGATACCTCCCCAGCCCTCCTTTTGAACTGAACCACTAAACCTGGTTAGCTATGAGCATGCCCAACTAGTGCTCAGCACATGTAGACAGCAGGGGGAGCAGGTTTGCAAACTGTACAAATGTCAAGAATGGCATTTACATATTTATATAACTGCCATTTAGGTGTGTAAAGTGAAACAGGATTCTGCCCTAAGTATTTCTGCCACACTGAATTCTCTTTAGCAGGCGCCTGAGCCATGTTGGAGCATTGCATTCAGCGCTATATATTGGAGTTAGAATGGCTGTGACATAGCTATGGAGACCCATGGCTTGCCTACAAAGTTTATGCTCTCCTAAAGCTCCTGCCTGGAGCCTTCTCTGGCTCTGGCAATTGCCAGGCTTGTGAGTGTTATTGAATTTTGCAAGGACAAGACCACCAAGCCAAACAAAGGGAAACAAATTGGAAATGAAAAAAGGGCTTTGGAGGCAATTGACAGTAGCTGTCTGTGGTAAAATGAGCTAATCTGAGCCACTCACTAACACCAGAGCCTCTAATTAAAGCCAGGCCAGACACAGGCTCATGCTGCCAGTAATTGCTTTTCTCACAGCCAGGCTTCAGAGCTACTGACTCAGAGCTCCACACAGCTGCAATAGAAATCTGGTTCAAATTGCATCAAGGTTTATCACTGCTGCTGCTCCTATGGGCTGGGATCAAGCATCTCCATGGCTCAGGCTCTGCAGATCCCTAGGACATGTACACAGAAGTGGCCCCAGGAGGCATTTATTATGTACACCTGATCAATAAACCCTGACAAGTATTGAAAGCAAGTAAGAGAGCTTTGACGCTGAGGCAAGGGAACTTGTATTCATATAATCTCTTGGCTACTTTTTGAGCAGGTTATTTATTTGTGGCCCCTGGCTGGGACTGAAGGCAGGTTTGTTACCACCTGGATTACCATACCCAGGTGGCTGGTCCCCTTTTCCTGTCATGTTATGGGAGTGTGATGCATTCAGGTATTATGTAGATTTTTCCCCAAGCTTATTGTAAAGTCCGTGCACATGTAAATGCAGAGGAGGAAAAGCTGGAAACAGCCCTGAGATCTTTGGAAGTCCTTGTACCTTGGATATTGCTGTGCTAGGGGGTCCAAAGTGTTGTGATGCAGACTGATTCCCCTACTCAACACCATCACCAGCCCCCTGATTAAATGAATCACGAAGCCGGAGAAACCTCCAGAAATACGGATTTCCTCTGCTACAGGATTATATTATTATTATTATTATTATTATTATTATTATTATTATTAGCCAAAGAGGAATCGTGCTGGTCAGAGGGATGCCAGTATTGTTTTAATTTCCCAGGAGGCTCCTTCTGGTGTGACATGTCCCCAGCAGGGGACTTCAGTTGCCTTGCGTTACTTTACTCCATACAATGGGATGTGATATGTCAAACCATGACAAGACAGCTAGAATGTGTCATAATACTGAACTCAACACACAGCCTTCCAGGGAAGAGCAAGCTAATAATATCAGTCTCAAATTATCCCTATATGCTGAGCTGGTTTCTTTTCCCATATGAAATATGATGTATAGGAATCATATCTATATGGGAATACTGGATTGCCTACAGATTTGTTAGCTGTACACAGTGAATTATTTTGACTGGAGTGAAGTGCAGATCTAGGATTCTAGCCTTTTTATTACATGAAAGAGACTTTTCCTCTCTCAGCCTCTTTGATACCTTTGTCATTGCTTCAGCAAACAGTTTGGTGGAATTTCCATGTGACTTACTCTTTTATCATCTGGGTTTGAAACTGCTACTTAGACTCAGAGATGATGTGATTGCATTAAACACAGTATCATCTTTCAAGCTTGTCTTTGAACTGCAGCCCACCATCTCCTGAATTCAGACCTACAGTGAGGTTTAGATTCCATTGTAGTTTGCATTGTATGTGGCTAAAGGTGACAGAAATCTCTCTGTGTTTTGCTAATTTGTCCAGTTCTGTGTCATTGTTTCAGTCTGTCTGACTCTTTGAACTTTGCTATCAAGCTGCTATATTACATTAAGGGGTAATGAGGCATTAAAATGCATGAACAACATTTCCAGTCTCTAAAGGAATGCAAGACATCCCTCAGAAACAAACACAGAAAGCTGTTCTTTGTCCTTTGGCTAGGGCTTTCCCAGCTAATGACAGGAGCATGTCTCTTTCTCCACAGATGCTATGATGATCTGGAAAGGAGACACGTGTTTGACAAACACATGTGTATTGAATGGCATGTGGCATTTCACAAATGTATTGCAGCTGCTGCTGAGGCTACCAAATCATTATAGGTTCAATGGTTTATTTGGTAGAAACAAACTAATTACATGCTTTTAATTGCTAGTAAAACCCTGTTGAAAATGCCTTCCCTGGTTCCTCGAGATTAGTTTAAGCCCATACTTCCCTTTCTGTAATGTACCCAGTTTGAAATGCATCTCTAGCTGTGAGTTGCAGCATACTTGTATGTCTCCCTGTGGGTTTTTTGGTTCGAAGTGGGGAGGAAGCTACACTGAACCTTTCTGTCAAGCATCTCATTTCACAACCAGGCATCTATTTCAAAAGTATCTAAACTCACCTTCTAAGGTTCTTCCAAAAGCATTTTGGGCCCAATCCTGTGAATCCATCAACTTCAGTGAGAGATGAGAGTACTCAGCACCTCAGAGCAGTAAATTCCGGGAGAGGAGTGGGGTTTGGGATCAGTATAGATGTATTCCTATCTCCAGGCACAAGTGGACGCTAATTCTGAAAACTGAACTCCCAGGGAATCCCCGAATCAAGCTGAATGTCCAGTCTTCCCCAGCAACAGTGCTGCTGTTTGGCAAGCAAGCAACACTTCTGCCACTCTTTCCAGGGAGGCCGTGAATCTCATAAGGAGAAAAGGAAGGCCAGGGTGTGAGATCATGAAGCAGGTTACTGTCAAAAGGTCTGACCTGCATTAAAAGAAGTGGAAACGATTCTCAGTGCACCAACATCTGTCTTTGATATGATTTAGTTGTAAGCACTTTTAAGAATTAGTTGCAGTCATTTCACACAGGAAAAATGGATGAGTGCCGAGAAACCCATCAAGGAAAAGTACAAGAGTAGCATATCCATATTGCTTTCTAAGTAAAAACTACATGTTTGCATTGGAAGGAAATTCAGTACTCTTGGAAAGAGGAACTAATACTTTTATTTATAGTTTGTCACAGCATAACACAGAACAACCACAGTGGCTTGCCCCAGCTATCCCAGTCCTAAGCTGCTGCCAAATACATATTTCCACTGGTGTCAAACTGTGTGAAACTGTGCACTGAGTCTGTGATGGAGATAAATGACCCCTAAAGAGCAAGACTGTTTTCCCTGACTACAAACTCTTTTCAGCAGGGACTGTCTTTTTCTTATGTTTATCCAGGCCCTTGCACAATACCCCTGTTTCTGTTCTGTATCAGGATCAGAGCTATATTGAAATACTCATCAATACAGTTTTTGTTTGTGACCTAAGTCTGAGGCCTCCCAAGTGTGAAAGACCAATGCAGTATTCACTCTCTCTCTTCAAGCATACATTGATTTTAGCTATTGTGTTAAGTAGTGGAATAGCTTTAATTCTGCATTTTAATTGTTTGACTCTCCTGGCACATGTTGTTTTGTGGTTAGTGGCAATGCACTGCCAATGTGAATTTCTGACTAATATATTAGTTGCAGAGAAAAATGCTCTCGCATGACTGAGTTTAATTTCCATCCTATTTTTGTTGTCCTTTAGGAAGCAAACTGCTGATTTTGGTGCTTTGTTTGAACATCCAGTCAGAAGTGGAATCTTGCCCCGGGGCATGTGTATGCTACAGTGAGCCCAAGATTACAATAAGTTGTCAGCAGCAAGGACTGACAGCAATCCCCACTGAGATCCCTATACAGAGCCAGCGCATCTTCCTGCACAACAACAAGATAACCTTAGTTAGGTCCACCAGCTTTACATCGTGTCGCAATATGACCATACTTTGGATCCATTCCAATAACATCAGCCTCATTGAGCCAGCAGCATTTTATGGACTTGACAAACTGGAGGAATTAGACCTCAGCGACAACATGAATCTGAAGTCCATCAACCCAACCACGTTCCGGGGCCTCATTCACCTTCACGTCTTACATCTGGATCGCTGTGGGCTCCTGGAACTCTCCACAGGCCTTTTCCGAGGATTGTTCTCCTTACAGTATCTCTATCTTCAGGATAATAATCTGCAGAATTTGTTAGATGATACCTTCATGGATCTTGCAAACCTAACCTATCTGTTTTTGCATGGTAATAAAATTAAGAGCTTGTCAGAGAATGTTTTTCGTGGGCTGATCAACCTGGATCGGCTCCTGCTGCACCAGAATAGAGTCAGTCTGGTCCATCACAGGTCTTTTCATGACCTTGGGAAAGTGATGACCTTGTTTCTATTTAAGAACAACTTGACAGTGCTCACTGGAGAAACAATGGCTCCCTTGGTGTCCCTCCAATACCTACGTTTAAATGGGAACCAGTGGATCTGTGACTGCCAGGCTAGGTCACTCTGGAATTGGTTCAAACAATTTAAAGGATCATCAACAGAGCTGGAATGCTATCTGCCCCCTCACTTGGCAGGGAGAGACCTCAAAAGACTTCAGAGCAGTGACTTGGAGGGATGTGCTGACTCTTTCAATCAAATAAGAACAAGTGTTTTTAGCACTAAAACCAGATCTGGCAAACTGCCAACCACTGACCCCCCCCTAAATTCTCATGACAGCTCTCGGAAGTGCTGCCAACCAGAAACAGATAAATCTTTTATTTATGAAGCCAAAGGCAAAGCAGGTCCTTCTTCACACAGTAGCCGACCATCCCCCATCAACCCTCTCAAGGATAAGGAAAACATGTCCAAAACCAAGTACATTGAAACAGACCCTACCAAAAATGGCAGCAACAAGCAGATAAATGACTCCCCTTTTGGGACCTTTCCCAGCATTGTAGACCCTCCATTGACCAAGTTGAAACCAGAGTTCCTAGAACCCATTGAACCTTCCACAGTCCCTACCAAAAAGAGGCAGGGATGCTCTAGAAAGAACAAGTCTAAGGCCCAGTGCCGCCTCACCCAGCAAGGAAACAGCTCCACATTACAGCTGAGTCTAAGTCTTTTGATTCCCCCCTTGGTGTGGAGCTTACTCTTGTTCTGCTGAAACCAACTCTTTCCTTTGGTTGATGACACTTTAATACCAGACTTGCTGACCTCCATAAATGTTGCAAATGAGAAGTAAGCTATCATACACCCTGAGAGAGCTTTCTTACACAAAAAGTTAACTGGATGCCTTTATTAAAAAAAAAAAAGACAAAAAAACCTAAGGTGTACATAACCTTGTCCTAAAACCTGTGACTTATACCTTTGGTCCTTGGAACTGCACTTACTATAAAGCAGCTTTTGCTACAACAGAGGGTAAAGAAATATGATTTACATTCAAAAAAGTATAAGAAAATCCTCCAAATAGAATGTTTAAAGTTTGTTTGTAACTTGACATCATACTGAACAATGTTGCAAGTTCCCATTTGCAGAGGTGATGCATTTGATGCTGTTTTACTCCTATGTTTATGAATATTGCAGTTTTACCATATTCATTTCTGTCACACCTTATTTACACGTAGCATTTGTTAAAGAATGCTACCTTTTCATTCACTAAAATTGCAGTATATATAGATATGTATTTTATTTTACTTGTGTACAAGTATACAAAAAATACAAAATAAAGATTTCTTTTTTCCTAAGCTGTTGTCATTTGCAAGGGGTGAACTGCACTTGATGGCTAAAAGACTTATAATGAAAAGATTTCAGATCTGTCCAGATTGGAGAGCTGGGAGGCAGAGCCCAGCATTTAATGTGAGGGTAATAAATAAGACATATTCTCCACTGTTATGTGATCTCTAATTGGCACCAACAAAGGATTCTCTTGCATGAAACATGCTGTGTTAATGCTTCAGTTTCCCTTCCCAACTGTCCTATGCATTCCCCCAACATCATGCATATTTCAAGATGCTCAGAATAGCTGGAAATATTAGCCCAATACCCCTCTGAGCATAGAGTTCGAAGCTCATAGGTGTAGGAAAGGTTAGTAAACACTACTGAGAAGTCAGACAGGGCCATTTTTCTTCTGGTCTGAACAAATAACTAGACCCAGCCTCATGATTAATGAATCTGCCTGCTAACATTCAAAAGATGTTTCCAGGTGACACTGTATTCATATTTGGTTTTGTCAAACAGGAAATGCTTCCCAGACATACTGCCTATAGACAGTAAAGGTGGCTATTTGGCTTAATATCTGGGGCTCTGGGAGGCCTCTGTCCAATCCTGGCTCTGCAATTCTCTGTGTGGTTTTGTACTAGTAATGTCATGACCCTGCATCTTTCTTCTCCATCTGTAAAATGGGAATAACATTTCCCAACTCCACCCAGGGTGTCATGAAAATAAATACCTCATATCAGCATGGTGCAGACAGGCCATATCATAATGACAGCCCCACAAAGTATCTTAATAGATTAACCCATTTGTTTCTCTAATATTATAAAATGCCCACCATCTATGTATATTAGAGAATATTCCAAGCCTGCAAAGGGAAGAGGGACTGAAATAATTAGCAAATTAGTTAGTGATAATGCTGTTAGGTTTCCTCTGTGTTCTGTAACCTCTTCAGGGAGCTTGTTAAATTATTTGTACCTTGGCTGAGAACTTTGATCTATATATAATAGGCAAATGGGATGTTGCTTATTAGGCAACATGTAATAGACTATGTCCAGTGACATCTTAAACACTGTTGGACATTGAATGAATGGGAAGGTTTCACACCCAGGTATTTGCCACAGGACAATAAGGAAGTCTCCACTGGTGCACCAACAATATCCACATTTAAAACACACTGCAACTATGAAAAGACTTAGATAACAAATGGAATCAACAAAACCAGCACACAGAGGCAAGCACACCAAGCTGGCCACTAAGACAGTGGGGGCCAACCTTTGTGGCAGACATGTAACAAAGTAAGCCGTGCCGCCTCCTCAAGTGCCACTCCAATCCCCTTTTCCTGCCTGATCTGCTGGTCTCTGCCCTATCTGCTTCTGTGTTCCCTACTCCCTCCGTGATGCTCTGTATAACACACACACATGCTGCAGTGCCACGTGTGGCATGTTGGTCACCCTGCACAAGGAAATGTTGTTTAGAGGGGTATAGCTTAAACCATGCTCCTTTCTGACATTTAGGCTCCAAAGACTGGGTCATTGGGAGGTGTCTCCCTCCATTCAGGATTCATGGTTGTAACCCTTCTTCCAAGCTTAGGAGCCCAAACCAGGTCTGCCCTTTTTGGTGGGGGAGGGAACCAGATGTGGTATCCTCCTTTATATACAGTCCAGTGTACAGTCCAGTACAGACCACTCACCTCAAGCAAGGTTTGGCCCCCTTCTCTGACAGATTTTGAACTTATGTCTTTCACAAGTATGTTAGAGCTATTGGGTTGCAGTCTCATTTCTCCTGTTAAAACTGTTCTACTTTGCATATGCGATTAATTATTAATAGCAGCAAAGATCCAATTGTCCCACATTTCAGGCAAGTGTCCTAACCACTAGACAACTGACCTAATCTTTTGCTATCTTTCTTTCTTACTATTTAAATATTTTTAGGCAATGTGGCACCACGTCAACATGACATTCTGAGAAAATCCCATTTCAGAATATCTCAGCAGATAGCCTAATGGTTAGAACATTCCTCTACTAGATAGGAGAAGTGGGTTCAAACTCTTCCTTCAATCCAGGTGCAGGAAAGATTTGAAGGAGAGAGGGAGTCATTGTTAGGGGAAAGGGGGGCTTAAAGAGATGGCAGTCCACTGGACTCAGTCTTTGTTCTATACCCAGCTCAGCCACAGACTTCATCTGAGCCTCCATTTCTGTCTGTACAATGGAAGTAGTTGTCCTGCTCTGCGGCACAGATAATTTTGAGGACAATATTTTTTGGGAGGTTTTTCAAGCATAATGATAGTGGACTATTGAAAGGGATGTGGAGATATATATTTTATAACCCTTTTCAAAGTACAGACTAAGAAAGATGCTGCCTGACCTATTCATCCCACAGCATGGTGATAGGTGCAGGGTGTAGCTGGGAGCACTCGGAACAGTTTTACTAGAAATCCTAGAAGTCCATGTTATGTATTGTACAGGTAATGGAAGGTAGGTGTAAATGAGACAAGGATTTTAAAGTACACCCAATGCAAGGTACCACAACTTCATCTTAAATCAGTAGGTCTAAGGTATAGCATCACACAATATCCTCACTGACAGTGACCACACAGGTAACAAGTTGCTGAAGTTGGGCCATTTTGCCTTATCTGACTGGGTGAGATGGTCTATCACTTGCAATGGAATGGGCTGAGAGTGTAAGGAAGCTGGAAGAGGGCAAAATGTATGGCTGTATGATTGCGGACTTCCTCATTGTCCTGTGGCAAATATCCGGGTGTGAATCCTTCCCATTCATTCAATGGCCAACAGCATGTAAGATGTCACTTGCCTACTGTCTATTATATGAGGCCTAATAGGCAACACAAGAATGGATACAGCATTAGCACATAAATAACTAAGGAGATAGGTACCTAAATAGCTACCTAAATTGTATCAAAGCCCTTCACAAATGCATCAATAGAAGCATTAGGTGCAAGACATGGGAGGTGATAGTGCCTGTCTATTTGGCACTGGTTAGACCTCATCTGGAATGCCGTGTGCATTCTTGGCTGCACATTTTAAAAAGGAGGTAGAGAAGTCAGAGAAGGTCCAGAGGTAGATAACAAAGAAGATCAAGGGCTTGGAAGGGAAATCATGAGGAAAGGCTGAAGGAACTAAGCATGTTCAGTTTGCAGAAAAGGAGCTTAAGAGGTGGGGTGGGGGGCAGGCGACTTCCTCTGTAGCAGGGGTCATGGCCTTCTATCCAGGACCTCATGAGCACATATTGACAACGTTTCGTAGAAGCAGGACATTGGCTACTATGGTTCCCTTCCTCTGCCTGTGGCAGGTTACGGTGTTAGGTCTACGTTGTGTCAGTGTTGATAATAATCTTATTTAGAGTTTATATTATGGTTTGTATAGGATGGTTTGGATAGGGATATCCTGTCTTAGGCAGGGGGTTGGACTAATGACTTCTGGAGGTCCCTTTCAGCCATTCTTCTCTATGATTTATTAACCTCACCAACCCTCGATAGGAAGGGCAGAATTTCTGGCCACACTTTACAGAGGAAGAAACTGTGCCACAAAGAGGTGAAACAAGCTACCCAAATTCCCACAATGAAGCACTGGCAGTCATACATTCTGCTGTCATTCCCTGCTGTACTCACCAGATCCCTGCTTTGTGTTCCGTTATCTTCTTTCCTCACCCTACATCTATTGTTCTCAGGGTTAGTCCTGTCTTCCTGTGCTTAGACCAGCAAGGATGATAAAGGGATAAAGGACAGAGACTGTCAGTGAGAGGATCATGTGTAAGACGGTGATAGTGGTCATCCTAGCCCACATCCTAGTATTGCTGCACCATGATACATTTGGTTTGTCTGTGTGTTGATATTTATAACATAAAAACAGTCTATTTCTGGGCCTTTCCTAGTCTTGTCAAGTGAGACTTCACCCACTTGCAAGATAGGGTGAATCAACCCATTTGGCCATGTTCAATCTTACAGTCGATCTACTATAATCAGGTTGCTGGGCTGAGATAGAGGTTATGTCAGTGGCTACGTAAAGGAAGGTAGGGAAAATGCATTTGACCTACCTCCCACCAGTATCTCCCAGTAAGGTTCATGATGCTCATTTGGCAGTCCTGGTTGCACTACTGCTTAGCCACGATCAGCAGGAAGCAACTACTCTGCATCCTGGACTGTGATACCAAGTGGTCTCATTCTGCTCTCCTATGGCCATATTCAGTCCTGACTTCTCTGAAGATGCAAAGGCAATTGTTTATAAACACTTCACACAGCAGCTGATGGGAAGACAAGAGGACAGTGCCCAACTGTGTTCTGCAATAGATCATAAGTGTGCCATGATTAAAAATGGGCAATAAGCCTTTTTCTCTCAAAAGGCAGCTGTGGCAAAAATATTTGCTAGCTGGCGCTTATCACATGCATGATCAGAAACAGATTTAATGGATTTGCCTAGATCAGAGGCATGATGCAGATAGGAGAGCCCTGAGAAGATGCTTAACCTAGTTCCTAAGAATGTGTTAGAGAAGCCCCAAATATACAGGTTTCCCTCACTTTATGTGTACATGCATTCCTGGAAACAGCACATAATTTGAATTTACATAAAGGGAACCCACTTTACAATGTAACAAATAAGGA